CCAGTTCTTTTTTTTTGACCGGCTTGCGTTTCTTGCGTAGAGCGCCCTTTGGCAAATATTTATCACGCAGGTGACTTTTTTACTGGTAAGATGGGCCTTTAAGGTCAAATCAAGTCGCTAGCAGAACCTAAGGAAAAGTAGACGAATGCCACATTTTTGCGCATGAAGTCTCGAGTTAAAAAAAGCTAAAAGTTAATATACGTGTAAGCTAAAACAATAAGATCAGTAAATAAAAATATTTGACCCGAAATTAGCCTCTGTTTTGTCTGACCATGATTGCGTGTAAGACACCGGCCCAATCGGGTTCAACCCGGCCCAACCTGGTTCGGCTCCCCCTTTTTTAATATTAAATTTGGCCCGAACCTTTTGAATGAAAGGAATCACAAGGACAGAGTCCCCGCTAAGCTGAGCTTGTTGCGTTGACCCTGCTCTCTACCTTCCGATCAAGCAATTCCTGGTTTATGGCAGAATTGCGCGGCTATGTGCGCACATTAAAATTTGGACTCTATAGAGCCCAAATTTTAACGTGCGCTCTATGGAGTTTAACGTGCGCTCTCCAAATTTTACTCTATAGAGTCCAAATTTTAACGTGCGCACATAGCCGCGCACGGCCGGTCCCCTCACTGACTTCGCCTGGCAGCGGCCTGCCACCAACCACAACCATACCCGTCTGGAGGCTCAAAAACGTCAAACACACGTCGCGTTTCGAACCCGGACTTTTGCAACCGGGACGTGCGCTCTCACCACATGGCAAATGGAGTCCAACGCTCTACCGACCGAGCTACCGGGACGGACATTTACTTTGCGGTTTCGCCTCGTGACATTGACAGACGGCAGACACTTTGGCCGAACTGAAAGCTAGCCGAAACACTGAGCAAGCTGCGGCGATAGGTGCTCGTAGGGTTGAGGTTGGGTAACCTGTGAGCTGAATGCGATGTCGTGAGTTCGAGGCCCACTCCCGGGTCTGGTTTTATCTCGACACGAACCAAAACCTTTCCTTCTACTGCAACACAGATAAACACGATGCCATCTTTCCCCAATATCTTTCCCCAATATCCTCTCAAAAAGTCAAAATTATCGCTTATAAATGTTTAGCAAAGTTTCATTTTTAAGAAAATATTTTTGGACATTTTCTGGAGCCATTTCAAATCATCTTTCTTTTCTGATTCTGTTCGGCCCGATAAAACCCACCAAAACTGAACGTGCCAAATGAAAAATATCTAACTCAAATAACAGTTTAGAACAGCCTCATCATGCATCATGAAAAGCATCATGCAACTATAGACTGAATAATTGCATGCTATGAATGCGTCCTAGATTTCAATTACCTATCATTGTTCAACATTTTGGCTGGAACTGACGCTGCCTCTGGCTTGCCCGTTTGTTTGAGATAATGATTCCCTTTAGTCGCATTCTTGCTGCTTCCACATGAACAGGATACCACCATACCGGAGTGAACGCACCCGCAACCATCATCCCCTCCCCTCAGCCTCGGCGCAGTGGCGGGCGGCCCTGGGCGGCCCACTCCCGGCGCTACGCACGCCCCATGGGCCGTGATACCGCGTCACTCCCCCTCCCTCCTTCCCCCACAATGACCGGTGACCTCACTTCCCTCGGGATTTGGACTCGCCCTACCCCGACCGTAGCGCCACGTGGTGGCTCTGGAGATCTTAAATAGACCCACTGTACACACTGCAGGATCGCGCACTAACGCCAGTCGAAAAAATAGGCCACTTGGAATACAGGTTGGTTTGGGTTAAGCACCACATCCAGTGGACCAAGGCGCTAACCGGAACTCTCACGCTGTTCCAAGCGGTCAGGTAGCGGCAATGCCACGTGCATTGCCCGGGAATCGAACCCGGATGGCCGAATCCACTTGGAATACAGCGTCGAGACGTTGTAGTTTAGCATCTCCGGCTCAAAGGATATCGCCACACTCAGCACCTGTCTGTCCTATCATCCATAAGATTGACCCCAGCACAGGGGACGCTCCGTTATCCTCTGTCACAGATACAGGTCATAGAGAGGTCACGGACTCGGGGCGGAGCTCGAGGGCAGGGGGTGTCAGCGGAGTCAGAGTATTGAACAGCCGGTCAAATGGGCCGGTCGAAGCCAGGGCCGCGCGGGGAGGGAAACGGATACCGACCGGCCAATTGATAGGGTACGGAGGAAAAGAGGTCTAGAGAAACAATACAGAGGCTCCTCAGGTAATGGGAGGTCAGGAGGGACCGGAAGTCGAGAAAGAGCCGGAGAGGCTTCGGAGTGCTGGGAAACGTCAAAGCACACGACAGGCGGTCAAGCTGCGGTCCAATGCGGAACATGACAGATAAGTATATAAAAAACTACCTATGAAGTTCTTCTTCCAAGAACTAGTAAGTAGACAGTGAGAAAGTGATAAGAAAGCAAAAGTGGATGCTAAGAAAACCACAAATCACATGATGGAAGGCGGAAGCCAATGTTGCTGTTTTTTAAACTCTGATGGAAAATAAACATCATGAACTCCGAGAAAGCTTAAAATGGCAGGAGTGAAGACCACAATTTTTCAACCAGCCAGAACGGTCACGAACTAACATGCACCGAAAAGCCAGTCGGATGTCAGAAAACCTTAACCTTTGCTAATACCCACTTTTTCTGTCAGCAGAATATCTGTTTCGCTGAAAATCTGGTTCGGACTGGTTAGGTATATGACGTGATACCGCTGCGTCGCCATTGGTCAGGACCACACTCGAGGAAGCTCAGCCGACGGAGCTGGGGCGGAGCTCTACCGCAGCCAAGGCGAGCCCGCTACTTATCGTTGTTTACTTTATCAACGACTGCGAGAGAATCCATAAACAACAATTTATGAACCGCGCCCTGCGCTCAAGCCTCTTAAACCTATGCAGGAGTGATAAGTCGAGAGAAGAGATTTGGAAGGCATTGTGCTTATCCGAGGGTAAAACAGAAAAATGGAGATAGAGGCCGTGAGATAAGCGAGGAAAACCCATCCAGTAAGATAGATGGGATGAGAGAGAAGCGAGACGGAGAGAGCTCCAGCACTATTGGATCGTGGGAAGCGCTGTGAATATTTCCGGACTCTGGTCACGATATCAGATACACCCAGCGGGCTAAGGAACCGGCGCTGTCACGCATCGAGGATGCCCCCGGGCGGGCGGGCGGGCGTATCGAGCGAGCGCGGCCTCCTTCTAGGGTCCCGGGCCGACATCGACCGTCGGGAGTGGGACGGCGACGGACGGACGGAGGGGCGACAGGGTGCGTGCTGAAGGAGACGGGTGACGGACAGTGACATTACCACAATAAGGAAACGTCGCACCCCGACACACGCCAACGCAGACGACCGGCTTCCAAATGAGTCATGCACTTTAACAAAGTATGACCAACCACAAAGTAATGAGAAACATATTGACACAGGTAGACCTCAATCATAGCGCCTGAGGGTGAAAAGGCATATCTCTGAGGTGACTTTAGTAATTCGTGTCTCCATGCCTTTTTAGATGAATTTCTATCTCTGCACGATCGCCAATCATGGCCGATTTCAGACAACATAGACGTCATCTGACCATCTCATTTGGCTTTCTTGGACGACTGTGCGCCGACGCGACCCAATGACCTTAAATGGCCCGAGAACCAGCCAAACAACGGCCGACCCAGCCACCAGTCTACCACCGTCACCGCTGCCACCTCCACCCCCACAGCTCCCAGCGCTGCGGCGTTACGCGGAACAAAAGCCACACAGGAGAAACCGCGCGGTGTCTCCGGCTGCAGCGCGAAACAAACAGCCGCTGGCACAGAACCGGTCCGGTGGGGTGGGACAAACCTGCGGCCAGGCACCGTAGCCGTGTCCGGCTCACGGTCAATCTCACCGGCACGAACGGGGCCAGGTGGTCCACTCGGCGACTCGCCCAGTGGACTGGCGCCCGGCATCAACCGTCAGCTGGTACTGGAGAGGAGAGGAGGTGGCTAACGGGCCGACCCGGGATGGAACGGGAAGGGTGGAGCTGCAGCATCTCTCCTCACTCCTGAATCCGACCGCCGCGCCGCGCTGCCGGACCGGTGGGATCAGCTGATGAACGGTTCACGTCGGCCGGGGCCGACCGCTGGGTGGTGGGACGCTAGTGGGCGGACGATGGGACGCCGGTGGGCGGTGGGACGGGACACCACGCCGTTGGGACCATCGGACCGACCATGGGGCGTGGCCGACCGCCATAGCGGGCTCCTCAGAGCGGCCGGTGGGCGGAGACGCTGTCTGTCCACCGTCGGTGGGACGCGCCGTCGGCCGATGCCAGCCCGGAGACAAAACCGCTGACGTCCCGGATTCCGGTCAGACAGAACCGAAGCGTTCCGGCCACTGAGGAGCCGTCGTCATAAGTGTCACGCTGCCAAGGACGCGCCGCAGCTGACACGACGATTATTTTATCTGTCGAACGTGGTACGTGCTCAGCGAATTGGTATCACTCGTGCGTTACTTCTAAACATTTGCAGCTTCAGCGTAAAGGGAAATGTCGCACAGCAGTAACTCATTTACGCTCACGCTTGCCAACTTCTTCGGCATGGAGAAGAACTCAACATAATGTTTCCGTGCGCCATGTTTCATCACTCCAACCGGGACAGTATAACTCCACCAGTAAAAGTACTGAACCCCGATAACCGCTTTGGCCAATCAGCCCTCAAAAGGTAGCAGAACCGTCCCCTATCTACCCCAAACGCACATCGCAAATACATCTCTCCGGTTACTCCACCACACAGCAAAGCAACAGTCTTCTGTACAACAACGTCTCAACACACCCACTCGCAATTCGAACAACTACAGCCAATCTCGAACACATACCTCATAATCAACAGCCCACTATCACTCCCGTACCGTACCACCACAATCACATCAAGTCCAGCTCTGACGAACACCAGCTCACAACTCTCGGTCAGCGCATTACACACACGTGGTCAGAAGAGAGACACAGCGAGACACGGGACAATAAAATAAGACAGGCAGGAGCATCGCTTACCGTGGGTGCCCAGTTGACGGTAGAATCTGTACTCTAGGTGAAGCTGAGGAGCCTTCGACTTCATGGGCTCCTGTAACACGCCCGGGCCCGATCAGGTCAAGTAGAGGTCATGAGAGGTCATGTGTACTTATTGAGATGGAGAGAGCTTGTGTGGCGATCAGGACAGGCTTGTTATGGTTAGTCTAGCGAACACGATAGGAGTTGGTGCTGAGCTAAGTTCGAAATCATTGTCACAAGAACAAGTATATCAATCAGTGACAGTTTATAAGTCAGGGACGTAGAGATAGCAGCCTGTAAGCATTACGTCATTGATAACAGAGTGTTCCGAAAATACGTGCTTACAGACTACAAAGTCTATCGCAATGAACACTCATATAGCTTATTGTATCAAGTTCAGAATCAAAATAAGGATGACGCATGGCTGTCAGCAGCTAATGAAAAATAACGAAAGACGATTTTTACAGGTAAATAAGCCATGTGACACAACGCTAAATACCAAAGCAAAACAAGACTTTAACAAACAACAATAAAAGCGATGTAGAAAAAATGATAGAAACGAGTCACGTGTGCTAGTTCTTATAGAACAGAGGAAAGTTAGTACCTAGTCATTCCACTTCTCCATGGCTATACCAGTCTCGAGACAATCACATCACTATGATCAAATACATGTTTAAAAAGAAAAGTATAACATATGAGAGCACGACGGAGTAAACCAAGCACGATTTCAGTCCACATTTACCCCTAAATACATACCACCAGCCACGATCAAACAAACGCAGGAGGGACATAACTACGTTTGTAAATGTACGGACATGACGTGCAGACCCCGCAAAAATAACCTACGTAATAGTTCACATGAAACGTGACAGATAGGGCACGCCAACTGTGATGTATGTACTTTGCACTAGGAACACGTAACTTTGTCAGGATTACCCCCCCCCCCCCATAACGCTTACAGGAAGGGAGAGGAGAGGGAAAAGAAGCGAGAGGAGAGGGGGTATAGTTCAGGACAACCCACACGACATCACACAGAGCACAAAACCTCCGTCAGCCATCACCAAACCCGGCTGAACTGAAAGCCACTGTTTATACAATATACAGCCACCATATCGCGGACGGCCGTACGGATCAGGGCGGGGGCGGGGAGAGGGCGGGGTGGGATCACGCGTCTCACAGAGGTCAGCGAACTGAGAGAGCGCGGTCAGGCCCGCTTCCGGTGCATCGGAGAGGCGCGGTGGCCCGACGCGAGGTGATCACGACCTGGGCGAGCCACAAGGTCCCGGAGCGGCGCGGCTCCAGAGCGGCACGACCTTATAGGGTGGCACGAGCATAACATTTCGGAGCCACGTGGCTTCAGAGTGACACAGCCCCAGTGACAAGAAACCAAAACCATACAGCTATAGGCAGTCAAAGGGCCCCGGCAAGCAGCACAGACCAGAAAATGTCCGTAATTCGGACCCTAGAGATCAGGGCACACGGCAAAGAAAATGACACGGCCCCATGAGAGTCACGCGGTCCCAGAGAGCCCCACCACCTCAGGGCGGCATAAACCTTTCTGCGCTTCATCACGCGGCAACTGAGATACATTACAATACCCGTCACATAGGACAAATAGCATAATTACAAAACACAGCAAAACGAAGGGGATTCGAGGATCCGACAGATCTCGACACCGTGGTGCGAGACCTCCGGTGTACGGATAGCGCCTCGTAGATCAGGACTGGCGAACGTTTTACGATACTTCACACCAAGGTGCGATAATCGATCGAACAGACGCCAGTAACGGCCACACTGAGTCAGACGTAGCGTGGCACTTGTCAGCGTATGTTCGACCGACAGAAAGAGACTTGGCTCGGGTCAAACAGCTGTAAATATCAGCTGACAACACAACAAACAAGTGCAACATCTCACATCCATCATCAACCCAGCCTGGCCGCCACTATCCGCCCCAGATCGCATATCAACAATCTAATGACGTCAAAGCAGACTGCTCCGGCAGCAATCAGCAGTGCCCGACTTACCAGTTTGATAGCGACGTGCTCGTTGTTGTAGATGTTCTTGCCGAGCCGCAGCTCGCCAAAGTTGCCGCTCCCGATCTTCTTGCCGACGCGGAAGTTGGGTCCGACCATCAGCACGCCGGAGCCGCCGGAGCCGGCCTGGCGCGTGCCCGTGCTGTGCACGTTGGTGCGCGCCGCGCCGGCCGGCCGCGAGGCAGAGTGCCGCGCCGTCGGCTCGGCCGACGCCTTCTCCTTGCTGTCGCGCTTCTGCATGGTGCGCGACTGGGCACTGGCACTAAAGTATCGGGAGGCGGCGATGCCGAAGTGCGACACTTTGTCGAGCGGCGCGTCACTGGGTGGTAGCTAGTGGCGGCCGCGGGGGCCGGCGGCCGGCTCTGTGCTCGGTCGCATCGGTGCGCCGCCCGGGCCCAGCCGGCGGCGGACGGAGGACGCCGATGGCCGCTCACACGCCACGAACGGAGCGGCACGAGGCTCGGACACCCGCTGAAACAGGACAGAGACGAACGTCAGACACATTACATACGAGACTCGAGCGCCTGATGAGATATGACACAGCGAATGTCAAACACACTTTTCAGTACTAACGCCTTTGCGTGTGTGCATTGGGTAATAATGTCAACTGAAACTCAGCGTCACAGCAGCGTGCGCCAGTTAAATTTCAGCCGTCGGTTACTGATACCAACCCATCCAAAGATCTGGGGCACGACACGAGAAGATCGGAGCGGGGAAGGATGGGACTGGCTAACTGGAACAAAACGGCAGGATGGTCACAATCTGCTGCCAAAACGTCAATATCTCCCGACAGGTCATTCTTTATCCCGTCGCAGAGATTAATACCGTTGCATCAGGCGACCTCGCGTGGATCGACCACAGGCCGCTACGCAGACCGCCGCCAGCCGAAATAGACCAGCACCACTGTCACACTCCAGTGAAATAGCCATTTCGTCAGCGGGTACGGGCCCGCCCACTACCGCTACTGGTCAGTCCCCTCACATCCCAGCATTGCTCTTGATGCAGAGAGGCTGGTGGGTCACGCCCGCGTTAGCATCGGACATGGCCAGACTAGGAACGATACGAGGCCATTATCCTCGACCGATAGATCGAGTTCTCGTCCATCAGACAGCTGTATCATGAAGACCGTCCAGCGCCTATATGATTAGAGAGCCACAGATAGTGATGGTAACGAGTAACGACTCCTTACTGGCTCTACCTCTGTCTGCATCCCTTACAGCAAAAGCCCAACGCAGCGGCCGAGCGCCGGCAGATCAGAGGGCTAGCGGCAGCACTACCTCGTGTTTCCTGCAATGCAGTCTACCTTCTGACTGCGTCGGCCCAGGGCCGTTGGCGGTCACGGAATGCAAAGCGCCGCAATTTACTGGTTATCACGAGGGCGTGCCGCCACTCCGGCCCGGCGAGCGGTACAAACCGATCAACGGGTGCCGACTGGGATAGCCGAGCGGCAGCCCAGACACGCTACCGTACGTCCCAGAGCAGTCGCGGGGTGGGGACGAATGGGGAAAGGAGGAAAGGGCAGCGGTTGTGGGTAGAGGGCACGGAGATTGAATGCTAGAGAACATAGGAGACAGCATGGTGCCAATAGGAAAGACGACATAAGGACAATCAGGAGAGGAGACATGGGAGTGGGCGGAGAAATGGGAAAAAGAACGAGGAATACATGGGTCGGCAAGGGGCAGGCGGCGGAATACAAGGGAACGGAAAGCCGCGAGGGAAACACCAGCGGAACATATCTACGGCCGAAACAGTAAACCTGTGGCTGTATACCACGCACAGTGTGAAGCCCACGCCCCACGGACAGACGAAGCAGCGGCGGACGGATAGAGCGGCCCCCACTCGGCGGAGCCGACACGGCTGCAGACCGGCCGGCGTGGTGAGGGTCGCTGGACGGCGCAGCGCTGAGTCACATGGTGGACACCTCCAAGGCCGACCGCGGCCGCCCGGCACCCCGCTCGGCCGTCGCCGGGTCGCACGCCCACTCAGAGCCCAGTCGCCGCGCGATCGGGGTGGGGCGATAGACCGTTTACCGAAAAACTGCCAGGCCGGTGCTGCTCGGGTAAAACCCGCGTGGCAGAAAACTCGCCAATTAACCATCACTATCCGCTTACCAAGCATGCCGACATTGGTAAGACGATGAAACACGTGAATACCGATCGCCCACATAGCACGGAACAATAAATAACCGGACTGGACACCACATGAATATGCAGTGAGCACGAGGCCGGCAACATGGGACCGACCCTTCGGCTGAGGCATCGGACTGGAATGGTTATTGGACGACACAGCACCTGCCCGACCATCCTGAGCATTTTCAATTTCAAATGATTCTCATTTGAATTATCCAATATTAAATCGTGCCACCCTACTAGCTCTTAGTTTTTCTTCTTTTAGCAAAGGCGCGGATATCATTAATCTCTGTTGGGGATTTGCAAAATTTGACCTAAGATCACCTTCAGTGACCTGAATGGTCAATGCTAGCCTGAGATAAAAATGATTCATATACATTTCAATGTTTGTTTTCAGGTGAAACGACTCCCAATATTGACAGGAGTGTCGATCAGGGTGACAGGCACCACACCCTCCTGGCGACTTTAGAGTGTTCTTGCAAAGTGGTTAGACAGACTGCTGGCAGCTTACCCTAAAAAAAAAAATAATAATAATAATACAATATAGCCATGGGTTCTGCATCCACTACAGCACAATACCAATTATATCCATGCTAGTGTGGAAGATACTCACAGCCTGGTCCAGATTAAAGTACTAAGACCTCAGCCCTCAGGAGTCAGAATCCACATGAACTGTCAGCTGAAGTCTCAAGAGCAAGAAGCAGCAGCAGCCTGCAAGAATTCATACATTGCATCCTGTCTGCCATCTGTCATCTACTGATTATTTAGCCACAGCTGCTGTTGTACCAGACAATGGTGGAGCCCCACCTGAAGTATGCAAGCCTAGCAGGGAGCCCTCCTGCCAGGAGAGAACAACCAGAAACATATTAACAGGGTGCAAAGCAGAGCCACAAAGGTGGGGTGACTGAGACTGGCATTGGAATCTGTAGATTGCCAGGAGCAGGCTCCCCAGAAAGTGGTTCTCCAAGTTCAGAAGAAATACTCCATGGTTGTGCTCCCTTATTTGATGCAGTGTTATCAAAGCAAACTCTGTAAGAGGTTAAGTTTTGATTCTAGCATCAACAAGAACAAAACTTGGTACAATTGAGATACTGAGGGGAGAGAAAATGACTGATATTGTCCCTTTGATCAAACGGGGGCTTGACAAACAATACATATACATGTAAGTTTGCACAAATTTTGCATGTTGATTAGCCAGTTAAAAGGAAAACTACTACAGTTATAGCTCATGTATATGATGGTTTACATCAAATTGATTATAACGTGATTATAACTACATTATTGTATCATACCATATTACCAGCATGTGGACATTGAGGACTTCTGGTAGTAGTAAAGCACGCATCACACTTTTTTTTGCAACCAAGGAGAGGCACTGTAGGTTAGGTTGTAGGTTGTAGGTTGTAGGTTTTGGTTTGGCAAAAGTATATACTGAGTCTGAGTGACTGTTAAAAGATAAAGTTTTCATATTCTTACATTACTTGACATCCTGAATCCAAAAATGATGCTTATATGTCTTGGAAATAAAAGAAAAAACATAATCAAACCTGACCTAACCAGTGCTGGAAATGAGGCCGCTTTCTGGTCCCGGCGTTTTATTCTCCGGATGGGTTAACCCCGTCTAGCGCTTTGCCTTTCGGGACCCTCTCAGAACCGCGGTTGTTTTCGCCGCTCGGCCCATTCGAGATGCAAAGTTGATAGTCACACGAAGTTTATTTGGGGCCTCTGAATATACAACTTCGAACTTAATCGATTGTACAAAACCTTTTTCTTTCATCTATATGCATACATTTAACAGTAACTCCAGACTAGGCTGGTTTGGCTGGCCCTAAATAAGCTTCGTACGACTATTAACTTTGCATCTTGAATGGGCCGAGCGGCGAAAACAACCGCGACCCTGAGTGGGTCCTGAAAGGCTTAACACTGGACGGGACTAGCCCACCCGGAGAATAAAACGCCGGGACCAGAAAGCGGCCTCATTTCCAGCACTGGACCTAACCTTACCTATTTACCTACAACCTACCAACCTACAACCTACAAACCTACAACCTAGCCTAACCTAACCTAACCTACAAACCTACCAACCTAAAACCTAAAACCTACAAACCTACAACCTAACCTAACCTAAAACCTAAATTTTTGCTGTTACATATTTGCATCAACAGCGTCACAATTGTCCACTCGGACCTAATATATACTAATACCTTTGGATTTAGGTGATAGGTTGTAGGTTGTAGGTAAGGTTAGGTCAGGTTTGGTTAAGTTTGATTAGAAAGCATCTCTGGGTATAGCGCCTGTCCTTGGTTGCAAAAAGCAAGCGTGACATCTGCTATACCAGTAGCGGAACACCTTCAGTTAAGGGGGGGGGGGGGCACTGCCGACTTTTGGTCCTATTCTTTCCATGCAGCGGCCATAGGGCTAATGTTAAAATGCTAAAATCAAAGGGGGCACGGTGCCCTGGTGCCCTCCCCGTTCCGCCGCCTATGTGCTACACTGACACGACTACTGGACTTGTTCTATTAAATTTAGAATGAGGGGGTTTAGACTAAAGGAAATTGTTACTGTGAAAAACTAGCCATTAATGCAGAAAACATTGGGCTCAGTTAAGAATCAGCTGATTTTTCATGCAGGTTTCATTATTATCACATGGCAGGTCAAACTCAAATTTTGGCCTTTTAAACCTAAGGGCTGAAACGTACCTAGTTTCCGAGGGTGCATCACAATTCTGCACCTCCCATTGGAATAAATGGCATATTTTCAGCTACAAGCTCCCAGCTCATTGGGATACGAATTAAGAGTGGAAAATGTCATGAAGGTACCTGAATTCCACTAGGAGGTGCTAACTGCTATGATGCTACTAGAATCATTGAAAGGCCTAGTGATAGCTGGTAGTACCTGAACAGGACGGAACATGCAGACTCCACCAGTCACTGCAATGCTTCAGTTTAAACTCAGAGTTAAAAACTCATCACTAAAATCATACACAACCTATCAACACAATCCACCTTTCACCGGTACCCCGCGCAGGTCCACGACCTTCCGGGGCGCGGACTACTTCGCAACTGTTCAGCTGTTGCCCTGCCGTAGCGGAGGCTTACCGACCGCGAAATATTTAAGACGCATGTCATGGCAACAGCTCATTATCAAGTTCTTATGGATGCCATCATATTTCTTAAATGAAATATAATAATTTTAATAAGACTGAGCTAGCCGTCACACAAAGAAATGTTAAGAAGTATAGTACTATTTTCTTGGTGATGTGATTCCAGATTTTACAAACTGAAAAAGGAAAAAATATTCCAAATAGAGAAGTTTCGTTTGACGTATGAACGACGCTTTTAAACATTTTCCCCAAAATAGAGTTTTAAGCTGCTTTATGACGAATCACGTTTCTCAATCACTCATGAAAAGTTGCTTAGATCAGCTTGACGCTAGACCAGGACGCTAGACATAAAAAAATCACAAGACGTCATATGCCATATTTTCCCTTCTTTTTGTAATATAGTGGTATGAACATGTCTTTAAATTTCATGTTTTGGGTGAATATAAAAGTTTTAGTGTAAGTCTTGTTCAGTTTTCTCCTACAAGCGAATAAACAAATTTGAAACCTTCAAACTTAGCTTCATGCGAGCTTCATCATCGCTTTGTCGAAAGAAGTATGTATTGGCATGTATTATATTGGTAAAATTTCCAAATACTTTCAGCCTAGTTTAATCTGGCATTTTCCAGTAGAATAAAGAATATACTAAGCTCTAAGGCATATACTGCGCAGCAGTGACATAACATGCGCAAAGTGAATCAATCTTCGGTCCCGACGGTTTCGATAAATGTAAACAAAGGGAAATGGTTATCTCTGAAGCGAGCATAGAGTCAAATAACATTTTTAAAATGCATCTGGTAAATTGAAAACATCACGGCCACAAGTTTCTGAGTAAATCTCAGTTTTGTGAGTTGTTTCACTCTGAGATTTTGACTTGGGCTGACAACTCAAACTGAGGCCAGCTTGCAAGGTGAGTGTCACTTTCAATTCAAGGTTATAGGTCACTTTTTGAACATAATTGACCTCATAGGCGTAGGAACAGGGGGGGGGGGCCAGGTGGGCAAGTGCCCACCCACTTTTCGAGGTGGGGGGGGCAACTATGTGTTTTGGCCCACCCACTTTTTACTAGAGGCCCCTCGTCTCGATTTGAGAGGATGTCATCACCTTCCAGAATAAACAAACTCGGTAAAAATAAGTTCCACGAATCCCCACACACGGACTCCAAGGGGCCGTAATGGATCCAAGGAGGCCCTCTGTTCATACTTGTCAGTCAAAGCCCCTGAGACTGATGGCCTGAGAGGCCCTAGTGGATCTAAGGAGGCCCCAATATCCACACTGGTCTGGGGAGGCCCCTGACACTGGCGGTCTGGGAGGCCCCTCTATCCACACTAGTCAGAGGTCTGAGACTGGTGGTCTGGGAGGCCCCTCCATCCACACTAGTCAGAATAGGCCCCTGACACTGGCGGTCTAGCCGAGGCCCCCTACCCTCACTAGTCAGAGGAGGCCCCTCTATCCTCAATAGTCAGAAGAGGCCCCTGAGACTGATGGTCTGGGAGGCCTATCCATCTACACTGTAGTCAGAGGAGGCCCCTGAGACTGATGACCTGAGAGGCCCTTATAACCTCACCAGGCAGAAGAGGCCCGTGAGACTGATGGACTGAGAGGCCCTTCTATTCATACTGGCAACAGGAGACCCCCAAAACTTTTGGTCTGGGAGGTCCCTCAATCTGGCACCAGTCAGAAGAGTCCCCTGAGACTGATGGCCTGGGAAGCCCTTATATTCACACTAGGCAGCGGAGGCCCCTGAGACTGATGGTATGAGAGGCCCTCATATTCACACCAGTCAGAAGAGGCCCCCGAGGCTGATGGATGTGAGGCACTTCTGTTCATATAACTGGCCACTGGAGGCCCCTGAAACCAGTGGTCTGGGAGGGCCCTCTATCCACACTAGTCAGAAGAGGCCCCTGAGACCGGTGGTCTGAGAGGCTCTTATATTCATACTGGCCACAAGAGGCCCCTGAGACTGATAGTCAGAGAGGTCCACTCCTAATGAATCTGAGGGGGCCCTCTATCCACATTTACACTTTTCTAGGGAGGCCCCCGAGACTGATGGTCTGAGAGGCCTTTCTATTCAAACTAGGCAGATGAGGCCCCTGAGAATGATAGTCCGAAGAGCCATGCGGCGGCAACTGGCCGTGGCCATATTTCGGCTCGGTAGGGCCCCACAGAGCTCATGAGAGCACCTCAAGGGCTCCTAAGTAGACACGCTTATCCCCATAAGGGTGCCACGCCGGCTTCTGAAGGCTCCTTGTAGGCATCTAAGGGCCCTTTCCGGCCTCTAACGACTCCACCCGCCTGTGATGGCTCCACACCAGTGTTTATGAGCGCCACACAGCGGCGCCTTTGAGGGTCATACTAGTGTCTCTTAGGGCCCTATATCGGTGGCTCTGGTGGCCCCACACCGGCGTCTCTGTGGGCCACCACACCTGTGCATCTCAAGGCTCTATAGGTACATCTGAAGGACCCACACCGACACCTCTGAGGGCCCCACATCAGTATCTCGGAGCTCTGAAGGCCCCACACCGGTGACTCTGAGGGTTCACCGGCTCCTGAGAGCACCATGTTGATGTCTAACGGCTCCACAAGGCCACTGAAGGCACCACACAAGCTCTCACTGAGCTCTAATGTCCATGTACCGGCCTCTGAGGGATTTAAGCCAGCGCATTCATAGCTCCACACCAGCAATTGTAAGGGCTTCACACTGAAGTATCTGAGGGTTCCACACCGGTGTCTCTAAGGGCCACATACCGGTATCTCTGAGGGCCCCATACCGGCGTCTCCGAGGGTTCACATCTGGCGGGCACCCATCAGCGACTGAAGGTCCCACACTGTCGACTCCGAGATCCCCATCTGCGTCTGGGAGCACCATGCCGTCTCTAAGAACCACAGCGGCTCCTCCGTACAAAAGATGGGCGTCTGCATGCCAAAGGGGATCGGTTCTGAGACAGTAGGACACCTACGTGCAATAGAGGGCATAGGCGGCGGAACGATTTGAGACAAGGGGGGGGGGGGGGCGGCACCAGCTCAAGGAGCCAAACCTAGGGTACCCCCAAATCCTGTTTTCACAGCGGATTTAGGCCACTTATTTTTCGTCACAGCCCGACACGATTATTTTTTTTTCTATTTTTTTTTCCTGAACGAAAATGGCAGTTCACCCCCGTATGTGTGGTTAACTTTAACCCTCGCCGGCACAGGGGGGGGGGGGGGTTGATGCAACCCCCCTAAGGTTTTTCGCGAATAACTCGCGTAAAAAGCGGCCGATCGCGACGAAACTTTCAGTACCCTCGCATTGATCAATTTTACAACTACGCTGAAAATTTCATGACCCTGACCCAAATGACCTTTGACCTGTGACCTCTTTTCCGAGACCATGTTTGGCCGGAATCGCGATTCGGCGTAAGTCGGCTCGCATTAGCCGCGCGTTTGCAAGCTTTTCGTGGTTTCAAACGTTCAAACATGTGATTTGATGTTGCTCCCATACATTAGGGTGGGTGTCAAGGTCACCTGAAGGTCAGGTCAGGTCATTGACCTTTGGTGACCTCGGGTGACCTCGATTCACTTTTTCGAGTTTTACATGTTTCTAGGCTAGTTTTTTTAGCTGAATTCGAATTTAGCAACCATTTGAACATTTACGAAGTAGTTTTGGTGCCTTCGTAACATGTTACGAAGCTGTCAGAGGCGGTTGACACGTATTACGAATACCCGTCACAACCCCTACCGGTTGACCTGACCTGACCTGACCCGACCTGGTCTAAATGCTTAACCTTCCAGGCGGTGGGGGGGGCATTTTTTTGCCCCCCCCCCCTTTAGTTTTTTCGATATATCTCGAGAACCGCTGCGCCGATCGTCACCAAACTTTCAGTACCCTCCCGGGAGCAGCTAGCGCACATGGTGACCAAAAATTTTTCCAAAGGCTATGATAGGTTGGCCGCTATTGACGTCAGAGTGACGTCATTTTTGCCATTTTCGACCCAAAAAAAGGTTTCGCGGGAAGAGCTGTCAGGCCTACAGCTTTAGAGATACAGAAAAATGTTTCAGACATAAAAGGTGTGGAATTAAGAGGGCTACAAAACTGCTATTTCGGTTTTTCGAATTTTTTGGATTTTGACCCCCAAAAATCAAAAAATAGATTTTTTGAATATAATAGCCTAAAAATCCAAAAAGTTTTTTGAATTTCGAAAAAACCGGAATATATGTGATAGCCCCTACCGCCTTCTATCTACATACCAAATTTGAGATCGATACCTCTTTTTTTGGCCAAGTTATAGCGAAAAAACTGTTCAAAATTGATGACGTCAAATTTTCAAACTCAATTTTTAGCAATTCTAGACCTCGTAGCGCAAAACAAAGACCACCATTAGACTCCCCGTGACGAGCTGCATCGAATCGATACCCATTTTATGCAAAACTATCAACTTTGAAATTTGACCTTTTTTGACCTGACCTTGACCTGACCTCCACCAGAAAGTGACCTAAACCGTACCTAATGGTCTTATAACCAACACTATTGAGTTGGATACACTATTGAGTTGGAAATGAAAAACTGGCCATAAAACATGCATCGCATAACCTTAGTAAAGTTGGGCTAATGTGGTGACCCTTGGTGACCTTTGGTGACCTGACCTGTGACCTGACCTGGTATGACCAGTGACCTCTAATAGCAACATATGTACTAGACAACTGACGCCTTATCGCTGATTTTCGACAAAATGCGTTTTACTCGGTGTTATAGCGCTTTCCCTAGAAGCCCCGTGAACGGTGAAACATTTTATCTTTGACCTGACCTGTGACGTCATCGGTGACCCCGAGGTCAATGAAATTTGGTTTCCTTCGACAAATTTGACAGGGCTATCGAACGCCGTTTGAATTTTCCGGATCCGTCCAGTAGTTTCGGAGATACGGGGGGGGGGGCAAAAAAGTGCCCCCCCCCCCACCGCGCGGAAGGTGGCTGGTAGGCCCACCGCCTGCC